GTGCGGCCCAGGGAAGCAAAGGGAGGTGAGGGTGGGTCCAGGCCCAGAGGGCTCCTGGGGACCAGGAAAGGTGCTGGCACCAGGATGCCAGGAGGCTGTGCAGCCCAGGGAAGTAAAGGGAGGTGAGCCTCCACTCCTTTTTAACATAGTGCTTGAAACTTGCTAGAGCAATAAGACAAGAGTAGGAAATTAAAGGAGTACTAATTAAAAAAGGTCAAGTTATCCCTATTTGCAGATGATATTATACATTAAGAGATCCCAGAAAACTCCTAGAAATAATTAACCCTTTCAGCAAAGTGGCAGGTTACAAAATCAGTCGACAAAACCAAGAAGCTTTTATATATACCAATAACAAGCAATCAGAGAAGGAATACATGGAAACCCTTCCATTCACAAAAAAAAAAAAAAAAATCTAGTAATGAACAAAGAACACTATGATGAAAAATTTAAATCTTTGAAGAGACTAAGACACCAACAGATATAAGGACCTCCCATGCTCACAGATTGGAAGAATTAATGCCGTGATAACGACCATCATACAAGATGTAATCTATAAATTCAGTGCAAGGCAAATCAAAATCCCAATGACATTCCTCACAGAATTAGAAACAACAACAACAAAAACCCAAACCATCTGAAAATGTACATGGAATCACAAAAGACCCCAGATTGCCAAAGCAATCCTGAGGTTATTATCATATCAGAGCTCTAAAGATATAGTCATAAAAGCATCATGGTACTGGCACAAAAACACGCACATAGATCAATGGAACATAACTGAAGGTGCAAACATGAGTGCATGCAATTTCAGCCACCTGCTACTTCACAAGTTGCCACGAACACACACTGGAAGAAAGACAGCATCTTTAAACAAATGGTGCTGGCAAAACTGGATCTCCACCTCTAGAATGAAATCAGACATTAGTTGCTCAGGAATTGAGGTCAAGAATTAACAAGTGGTACCTCACTAAACTAAAAAGCTTCTGTACAGCAAAAGAAATAACCCAGGAAGAAAAAAATCTTCACCAGTAACACATCTGACAGAAGTTTAATATCCAGAACATATAGTGAATGCAAAAAACAAAGAATCAAGAGAAAAAATGACTCAAAAGATGGAATATGGATCTGAACAGAGTTCTCAAAATAAGAAATAAAGGTGGTTAAGAAACACCTTAAAAAGTGCTCAACATCCTTAGTGTTAAATACAAATTAAAGCCACTTTAAAATTTCATCTTACCCCAGTCAGACTGACTAAGATCGAAAGAAAAAATGATACCAAATGCTGGAGAGGATGTGGAGAAAGGGGAATGCTATTCACTGTTGGTGGGATTGCAAACTTGTGCAATCCCTATAGAAAGAAGTGTGGAGAACTCTTAAAAAACTAAAAATGAACCTACCATATGACCTGGTTAGTTATATCACTCCTTGACAAATACCCAAAGGACTCATCCTACCACAGAGATGAGTTTGTTGCTGCTCTTTTCACAATAGCTAAGAAATGGAAGCAATGTAAGTGTTCTTCAACTAATGAGTGGATAATGAATATGTGGCACATTTACACAATGGAGTTCTACTCTGCAGTAAAGAAAGACGAAATCATGAGTTTTACTCTGCAGTAAAGAAAGACAAAATCATGAAATCTGCAGGTAAATGGATGGGACTGGAAACAGTTATACCAAGTGAAGTAAAACAGACTCAGAAAAACAGATGATATATGTTCTCCCTCATTTGTGGATCTTAGCATCAAATCCTTTTATGTGAGCATATATTCCGATATAACTGCAGGAAAATTGAAAGAAACCATGGAGGTAAAGGACAAGCCTGAGAGAGAACAGTAGGAGACAGGTGTTACCAATGGGGGAAATGGGGGTATGTTAACTGGGGAGGAAGGAAGGTTAAACAGGGAGGAAAGATAATGCTTAGTTGGTGTGAAAAACCAGAGGGAAATGTATTAGTTCAAGTCTATGGAAAACTACATATACACTATCTCTCCATGTAGCCATGTGTATAGCTGAAGATTATACAACAAGAAACAGTGCCAGAACAGTGCCAGATAGGAGAAACCTCCCTTCAAGTTGTTGGCCAGGGTAGTCCAAGAAACTCTCAAAGTTACACAGGTTATTGCCACAATCCTTAATTGCCTCCCAGAACTTGAAGGTAGGACCCTATTGCTGAAGATATTACATACTTTGGACACGAGATTTAAAGCAATAGAGCTGGAAATGACCTGGAAGCCACCTCTGTGAAGGCTAGCTCTCATAGCTATGGAGGACATGGTGCAAGCTAAGGGAGAACATCAATCGATGGCCCAATAAGGCCTAATAACCACAACAATAACTGACACAGCAAACTACAATGGGGCAATAGTGGCACAGGAGCTGGAGAGATGGCTCAGTGGTTAAAAACATTGACTGCTGTTACAGAGGACCCAGATTCAATTCCCAGCACTCACATGGTGGCTAACAACCACCTGTAACTGCAATTCCAGGGGATCCAATGCCTTCTGATTGTTTGTTATAGGCACTGCACAACATGGATGCACTTACATGCAGGCAATACACTCATACACAAATAAAATAGTAAATAAAATATTTAAAAGATGTTTTGTATGAAATGCACAAAAATTCAATAAAAAATATGCAAAGGCGGGGGGGACTGGAGATAGCTCAGCAGTTAAGAGCAGACTTCTCTAGTGGAGGATCCGGGTTTGATTCCCAGAACCCACAAGGTGGCTGACAACCATCCATAAGTCCAGCTCCAGTGGACTCAGATGTTTGCTTCTGATCTCTGTGGTCATTGCATGACATACATGCAAGCAATACATTCATATACATAAAATAATAAAAACTTTTATATTAAAAAACATGCCAGGGCTGGAGAAGTGGCTCAGCAGTTAAGAACAACTGGCTGTTCTTGCAGAAGACCTGGGTCTAAATGCCAGCACCCACATGGCAGCTAACAACTGTCCGTAACTCAATTTCCAGGGGACCCGAAAGCCTCTTCTGTCCTCTGAGGGCATTGCACAACACAGGTGCACTTACCTACATGCAGGCAGTACATGCATACACATTTTTATATACATATATATATATATATAAAATGAGGATCTGGGTTTGAATCTTGAGCACCCAGGTAAAAATCAGAGTATGGTCACAAGCCTACTTACATCCTCAGAGTTCCAGGAGGTAGATATAGGGGGATCACTGTATCTTGCTGGGTACCAGCCTAGCTCCAGGTTGAGTTTGTAACAAGGGAGAAAATAGGACAGTAATAGAACAGGACATAAAATGCCCTGCTCCATCTTTAGCAAGAACATGGGTATACACACATACACACATCAAAAACACATGTAACACACACAACTTTTAAAGATTTTTTTGTTTTTTAATGAAAATGATTGAGTGGGACATGGTGGTTTACACCTTTAGTCCCAGAATCTGGGAGGCAGAGGCAAGGATATCTCTGTCACTTCATGCCAGCCTGGTCTACACAGTGAATTTCAGGCTAGTCAGGCCTACACAGTGGAATGATTTCTTTAAAATGAAAGTAGTAGGAAAATCTCAGTATTCATCAAAAGTCATTTTGGGGACTGAAGATCACAGAACTTGTAGAGGACCCAAGTTTGGTTCCCAGCACCCACATTATGAGTAGCAACCACCTGTAACTCCAGTCCCATGGGATCTGATGTCCTCTTTTGGCCTCCATAGACATAACACACATGGGTACACTTACATACATGCAGGCAAAGCACATACCATAATGAAAAATAAGTCATTTTCCATTCACCATTAATGACGATGATTTGACAACAAGAATTTATTTATAAATACTGGAACATTAAAATATCAATTCACCACTGATTATCTGATTTGATACAAAAAGACATCACTTATTTAACTTACACACTATTGCTTTAACAAAATTTACAAAATTTCATGCTACATTAACGTTCTTTTTTGTCTTGTGGGTTTTTTTGCTTTTGTTTTTCAGATATAGAGTTCCCTGAAGTGCCCCTTCTGGTTTAAATAATCCTTCCACCTCACCTATTCAGTTTAATGGTAATTTCCCAGAGTAAAAATTAGAAATATGGACACTAGAAATAGTTTTTAAAATGAACTACTGATACTGTATGTGAAGGCATACACTTTTCTAAACATTCAAGAGGTTGAGAATTACTGGCTCAAGGTCAATCAGGAATACATGGCAAGATCTTTTTGAAAAAAGAAAAATAAGAGATTTCCTTTCTGGAGCAAGCTAAAAAAAAACAATTTGTGTCCAGTCCTTTATATTACTGGCATTTATCAGACTGAACATGGGGATGTTTCAAAGGACTTTCCCAATATTTATTACTACTATTGACTTCACCAACAAATGTTTTTATATGGGGTGTGCTCACACATGTGCCAAATAAAATCAAACATCTCTTTTAATCAAACTTGTTTCTCATATTATTTCATAGTTGGTGGACTGAACCAAGTGCTGTTACTATATGATTTCCACAAAGGTGATAATGAAACCTTTACAAATTATATGTATTTAAGGTTACTCTACAGCGAGTTCTTTAATATCTATGAAAGAACGGGGATAACTGAAGGGTTTCTTTCCAGAATGACTACTTAAATGTATTTGAAGGCCTCTGGAAAAACTACTGTCTGTCCTCAACTATATACATAAGGATTGTCTACAGTGTGAGCTATCTCACATCTTATCCACAATTTAGAAATACAGAAGACTTTAACACACTGCTTGCAACTTTTCTCTGTATGACTTCTTTCATGTATTTCAAGGAAATTTTTAACATGGAAATCATTTCCATATTTTATTTATTTACTTGTCTTTTTTGGGGGGGAGGGGGTCTTTTTGAGACAGGGACTCCCTGTAGTCCTAGCTGACCTGAAATGCTATGTAGACCAGGCTGGCCCTGAACTCACAGAGATCCGCCTGCCTCTGCTCCCAAGTGTTGGGATTAAAGACATGCGCCACCAAGTCTGGCTTCCATATTGACTGGAAAAAAAAAAAACAAACAAAAAAAAACAAACAGGTTTTACTGAGACTCATTTCATGTTTTCTTCCTGAGGATTCAGGACTATAGAAGGCTACATTGCTAGCAAAAACCATTTCACTCTTATGTAATTTTATTTCTGTGGGAGCTACCAAACCAACCAAACGAATTTGGCTTTCTCACATTACCTAATTCATTCTGCTATGAGTTGCTTCATGTCTTCGTAATTTAGATAAACTCAAGAACCCTCTCCCACACTGCTTACATTTATAAGGTCTCTCTCCAGTGTGAGTTCGTACATGCTCTTGAAGTTGGCTACATGCCCTAAAGCGTTTCTCACATTCCTTACATTCAAAGGGTTTCTCTCCACTATGTGACATTTTGTGATATTTCAGCGATTTGTAAGTATTGAGAACTTTACCACATTGCTCACATACACATGATTTTCCTCCAGTATGACTCCTTTTATGTCCCCGAAAAGTATCTTTGGAACAGAACACTTTCTTGCAATATAAACATACATAGGGCTTCTCTCCACGAGCCCTTTCATGATTTTGAAAGGTTTCTAAAAAGGCAAATGTCTTCCCACAATGCTTACATTCATAAGGATTCTTACGAATGTGAGAGGCTTCATGACTTCGTAATTGATTCAAAGACAAAAAAGCTTTTCCACAATGCTTACATTCACAAGGATCCTTACGAATGTGAGAGGCTTCATGACTTCGTAATTGACTCAAAGATAAAAAAGCTTTTCCACATTGCTTACAGACATACGGTTTCTCACCAGTGTGGATTCTTTCATGTATTTGAACATAACTAGAATAAGCAAAAGCTTTTCCACATTGTTTGCATGAATAGGGTTTCTCTCCACTATGAGTTATCTTATGTTTTCGAAAAGAGCTGTCAGAACCGAAAGCTTTCCCACACTGCAAACACACATAGGGCTTCTCTCCAGTGTGAATCCTTTCATGTTTTCTAAAGGTACCAGAACAAGCAAAAGCCTTCCCACATTGCTTACATCTGTAGGGTTTTTCTCCACTGTGCATTCTAGTATGGAATCGAAGAGAACTATAATCAGTGAAAGCTTTCCCACACTGTTTGCATGCATAGGGTTTCTCTCCAGTATGAATTCTTTTATGTGTCAGAAGGGAACTGGAACGGGGAAAAGTTTTCCCACACTGCTCACACACATAGGGCCTCTCTCCAGTGTGGATTCTTTCATGTGTCTGTAGGGAACTGGAAGAAGTGAAGCCTTTCCCACATTGCTTACAAACATAGGGATTCACTCCACTGTGAATTACTTGATGTTTTCGTAACTGATTCCAAAGCCTGAAGGCATTCCCACACTGCTGGCATACGTAAGGCTTTTCCCCAGTGTGAGTTCGTTCATGTGCATGAAGCTGAGTAGAAGTAATGAAGGCTTTCTCGCACTGCTTACATACATAGGGCTTTTCTCCAGTATGAATTTTTGTATGTCTTTTAAGAGAAGCAGAACGAGGGAAAGTTTTTCCACAATGATTACACGCATAGGGCTTCTCACCAGTGTGAGTTATTTTATGTCTTAAAAGGGAATCCAAACGAGTAAAGGTTTTCCCACACTGCTTGCACACATATGGCTTCTCACCAGTGTGAATGCGTTCATGTATTTGTAGGTCCCTGGGACAAGTAAAGGCTTTCCTACATTTCTTACATACACAGGATTTCTTTGCATGGTGACATTGTTCATACTTTTGACCAGTTCTGAGACACCTAAGGTCTTCATTACAGTGATTATTCATATGTTTGTCTTCAGTATGAGCCCCTTTATGTTTCTCAAAGGATGGAGAAGTGGAGATGTTCCCAAACTCCTTATGTTTATACAATGACTTTCCACGTTCCTGATCTTCATAAGGTTTGTGTCCTGTATGAGGCTTAAGGAGCATACCATGAGAGAAATGGCCAATGCCAACTTCTCTACACACATGGTTTTCAAATGTAGGGACTTCTGGATAAGATTTCTGATTCACAGGATGCTCTGGAATGCAGCTGAAGGTTTCTGCACATTGATGACCTTCTTTACATTCACAGAATTTCTCCTTCAGCTGGCTGCTGCAAAAATGAAAAGTGCATTAATACTACACTGCTTATATTCTGCAAGATGGTTTGAGGACAACAGCATGTTTGTGTATGATTAACGTCTCCCTGTCTGACAAACATCTACATAACATTTCAACACAAATTTTAATGCACAACATTGTCAACATTCTGGATGTACAATAGTAACAAGGAAAACCATGTATTTTGAAATACATATCAATGAGATAACTTGACAATCCATACCAGTCTACAAGGAAATTTTATTTTTGTTTCACATTCAACTTGTATCCACAGTTTGTAGATAATATAACATTTAAATTACTTATTCATTTATTCTGTGTATGTTTGTGTGTATGTGTGCCATGGCAAAGGTATGGAGGTCAGGGGACAATGTTCAGCAGTGTTGTTTCCTTCTATCTTACTGAGGTCTTTCTGGTAGTTTCTGTCACTGTGGTGTATAACTATGCTAGTTAGCACTTAAGCTTCCAATCAATTCTCCTGTTTCATTTTAGAAGTGCTAGGGATTACAGATATGCACCACCACATCCGGCTTTTTATGTGAGTTTTGGGGACTGAAATCAAGTCATCAGGCTTGCACGGCAAGCACTTTTACCTGCTGAGCAATCTCCTCAGGCCCCATTTAAAAATAATATTATGTATGAAATTAAGTTTATATATATGAACCTTGATAAAGCATCACTTGTGACAATACTGGAATATTTGGGGTGTTCTATTGATGATGTTCAATACATTAACTTTTGGAGAAAATTTTCTGAGATGAAATCAGTTTGGAGCTTACCTTAGTTGTTTCCAGAGATTTTCATACTCATTTTCAATGTTCTTGCTTCCCCATTTGTTTCCTAAAATACAGACCCAGAGAAAACACTACAAATTATTACATTATAGAAAAATATATATATAGCTAAATTCTTGGTATAAGTGGTCCCGCTTGATACATTCACCCAAATGTTTCTTTTCTCATTCATACATCAATACTGATGAGCCAGAAACATTTGTCCTTTGACTGACTAAATAAGGAAATGGTCATATGTTTACCTATAGAGGCCAAGTTCCTCAAGGTTTCCTGCATCACATCTTTGTAGAGCTCCTTTTGTTTGAGATCCAGCATAGCCCATTCCTTCACAGTGAACTTCACAGCCACATCCTCAAAGGTCACTGACTCCTAAAAATCCACACATACACATATCCAGGAAGAATGGTGAGTCTCACAGTACTGGAGATATAAACATAATTCACAAGACATTAACGTGCCATTATGTTCCACACATATTCAAGTTTTCCTGGTCATCATACTCTATCCATAAACACTAAGATTATCTCATATAGTAATTCTCAAAGTAAACTGGAATTCTTTGGGAACAAAACAGAATATAATCACCACTTGTGCAGACAGTTGTACTAATTTCTTTTTGTATACCGCATATAAAAACAAGCACAGAATTAAAAAAAAAATTTATTTTATTCTTAAATTTTTAATTTATTTTTATATGCATGAGTGTTTTGCCTACATGTATGTAAGTACACCACATGCATAAAATGCCTGCAGAGGTCAGAAGAGGGCCTCCATCTCCCAGAACTGGAGTTAGAGATGGTTGTTAGCTGCCATGTGGGTACTGGGAACTTAACCTGGGTCCTCTGCAAGAGCAGCCAATGGTCTTAACCACTGAGCCATCTTCTCAGCCTCTATTTATTTTATGTGTGTGTGCCTCAGTGTATGTATGTAAACCATATGCATTCCTGGTGACCTCAGGTCCTGGAACTGCAGTTACAGGAAGTTGTAAGTCACCCAGCGCGCATGATTGCCCTGCAAAAGCAACAAGTGATCTTAACTGGCTAAGCCATCTCTCCTGACCATCACTAACAAGTTTGTGTAACAAATTCTGATTATCCAGTGCTATAAAAGAGTCAATATAAGCGCCTTAAGTCTTAGAAATACTAGATCCAAAAATTCTTCTAGTATCTATGAACTCAGCAGGTATTCCTCCCACCCTAACTGTAAAGTGATGTGGCTTTCTCAAACAGTTGATAACAATCATATTTACTTTTAAAAATACTTGTTGTTGGAGCTGGAGAGATGGCTCAGCAGTTAAGAACACTGACTGTTCTTGCAGAAAACCTGGGTTCAAATCCCAGCACCCACATGGCAGCTAACAACTGTCTGTAACTCCAGTTCCAGGGGATCTGACAGCCTCTTCTGTCCTCCGCAGGCATTGCATGATACGAGTGCACTTACTTACATGCAGGCATAACATGCATACACATAAAAAGAAAAAAAGAAAAAAAACTTGTTGTCCCCTAGAATCCTTGCAAAACAGAATCCTTGCAATCACAGAGATGCTATCTAGTTAGAACCTATTCTCTAGTACACACTCCCTTGATTAGGAATCTTTAAGAACCAGATTTGGTAAATATTGCTTAATACCTTTTTTTAAAAAACTTTATTATTAGGGCTTGGAGAGATGGCTCAGTGGTCTAACAACACTGGCTGCACTTCCAGAAGACCCAGGTTTGATTCCCAGGACCCACATGGTAGCTAACAACAGTCTGTAACTCCAGTTCCAGGGGATCCAACACCTTCCTTCTGGCCTCTAAGGGCTTTTGCATGCCACAGGTACACTTACAGGCAAACACTCATACACATAAAATAAACTTTATTGTTATTATTATTGTGTGAGAGAGGTGTTGGGAATCTATGAGTTTTCCATGGCACTCATGTGGAGGTCAGAGGACAATTTGAGGGAGTCAGTTCTTTGTCTAGCTTCAGAACCATTCTGAGGATGGAACTCAAGTGATGAGGGTTGCATAGCAAGTACCTTTACCCACTGAACCATTTCATCAGACATCTATTTAATACTTCTTGTTACAATATATTAGGAACCTGAACACATCTCTTCTAACTGCACTAAAGGTTAATGTAAGAAAGCATATAGCAGGCTGGGTGTGGTGGCACACGCCTTTAATCCTAGCACTCAGGAGGCAGAGGCAGGCGGATCTCTGTGAGTTCAAGGCCAGCCTGGTCTACATAGTGAGTTCCAGGACAGCTGGGGCTACAGGGAGGGAGACCCTGTCTCAAAAAGACCAAAAAAAAAAGAAAAAGAAAAAGAAAAAAGAAGGAAAAAGAAAGCATATAGCTTGTCTCCTAGACTATTCTTAATTAGAAACTGAATAGGGCTCCTGAAGAGTAATTTACTACACCAGTAAATAAACATTACCATTTTTCAGTTATATTTTTATTTGTTTATCTATACACATGTGGTCAGAGGACAACATGCAGGAAGTCTGTTTTCCCTTTCTACCATGTGTGTACCTGGAGTTGAACGCAGTTTTTCAGGCTTGGTGGCAAGCACTTTTACCCACGGAGTCATCTACCTGGCTCGCCATACTTTTATTTTCATTTTCTGAGACAGGGTCTTACTACATAGCATCAGCTGGCCTGGAACTATGTAGACCATCCCAGGCTGGCCTCAGTCTCACAGTGATCAGCCTGCCTCTGCCTCTGCCTCTGGAGTGGGATTAAAGGCATGCACCACAATACCCAGCAGCTCCATCATGTCAATGGATAATGTCAATGGATAATGAAACAAAGGGAATGATAGTACATATTCTTAAATACAGCTGTGATTCATTCTATAACCTTTATAATTCCTACCTTAAAACACACCTTAAATAAAATACTTAATGAAACCTGCAATAAAACATAAACATAAAACAGTTTTCTTGAATAAGAAAGCCATAGTTTGCCTAATAAACACAAACAACTTTGAAATTACATTATACTATTAACAGAGAAATGAACAAATAGATTGCATAAGGAAAATTAGTATTCAGTGAGTCATATCTAAAAAGAAAAACTAATAGATATAGCACAGCAGGTACAGAAATCACAATATCAGTACACATGAAGCAAAGATAAACAAACAATTGAAAGCATATATTATAGTTCCTTCTATTCCACAGATGACAATGAAATTACACCTTTAAACGTGAAAGATAAATAGTAAAATTGTTAGAAAGTTACGGTCAAGGCCGGTAAACTGATGCATGCCAGTAATCTCAGCACTCAGGAAGCAGAGACATGATAATGAAACGTCAAGGTTGTCCTAGGACATATATGAGCCTGACTTGATGAGACACAGAGGGGAAATAAGTAGAAGACTGTCTTTCACATAAAGAAAACCAAGATCTGCAGCAGACAAAATCTTATGGTTTAACAATCTTAAATTACCTGGGAGGGATCTGGATTCTCTATATGCTAGTTAGTTTTTGTCAACTTGACACAAAACTAAGCATACTTGGGAAGAGAGAATCTTAACTGATGAAATGCCTCCATAGAATTTGCTTGTGGCCATGTTTGTGAGGTATTTTCTTGATTAAAAAGACCAAAAAAATGAGCTGGAGAGATGGCTCAGCGGTCAAGAACACTGGCTGTTCTTGCAGAAGACCCGGGTTCGAATCCCAGCACTCACATGGCAGCTAACAACTTGTCCGTAACTCCAGTTCCAGGGGATCTGACAGTGCACTTACCTACATGCAGGCAATACACACATATACATAAAAATAATAAATAAAAAAATTTTTAAATAATAAATTTTTTAAAAATGGGGTGGCCCACACCTTTAATCCTATCACTAGGGAGACAGAGGCAGGCAGATTTCTGTGAGTTTGAAGCCAGCTGGGCCTATATAGTGAGTTGCAAGCTAGCCAGAGCTACATAGTAAGACCCTTTCTCAAAAAAATAAAAATACAAAATAAAAAGGGTATCATTATAACACATGGCATTGAAGTACAGAGCATCATTAGAAATTATTCTGTAAACCTGTACTCTTAAAAAAAACTGGAAAATCTAGAGGGAATATATAAATTTATAAATGCATACCATCTATCAAAATTAAAATCAGAAGTTAGCTACTTTCAAGGAAGATCTCACAACACCTTTTTTAAAAAAAATGTTTGAATTTGAATGTAAGTATACCACATCTGTGCAATGTCCATGAACACCAGAAGAGAATGTCAGATCCCCTCACACTGGAGTTAGAGATGGTTGTTAGCTGTTATGTGGATGCTGAAACTGAACCCAGGTCCTTGGTATGAGATCTTCCTTGAAAGTTTGATAGAATTCAACAGTGAATCACAGCTTCTATCTCATTGCTTATAATGGGTCTGTGTAAGTTATTTACAGCTTCTGGTTTTAATTTTGGCAGATGATATGCATTTATAAATTCAAGCACTGCTCTTAACTGCTGAGCTATCTTTATAGTCCCATACCAATTCTTCTTAACTTGTTCCACAAAATAGAAAGTGAAGGAACACTATCAAGTTCATTCTACAAAGCCAGCATCATTCTGATACCAAAATTAGGTAAAGACACAACTAAAAGAAAACTACAGACCAATTTCTTTAATGGACATAGATTTTAAATTTTTCAACAAAATACTTGCAAACACACTAAGAAGATCATACATTATGACCAAGTAAGCTTCATCCCACAAGTGCAAGGTTGATTCAATATACTTAAACCATATAACACACACAAACACACACACACACACACACACACACACACACACACACACCATATAAACACTAAAGGACAGAAATCATGTGGTCATCTTGATTGATGCTGAAAAGGCATCTGAACAAGTTCAACATGCCTTCACAATGAGTCCTTGAGACATTAGGAATAAAGAATACCTTAAAATAATAAAAGCTAAAAAACAAACAAACACACAAACAAAAAACCTATAGCCAATATTACATTAAATGGAGACAAACTGAGAGCTAAAACCTAAAACCAGGAACGAGACAAGGACCCCCATTTTCCTCTTTCCTATTTAATATACTGCTTGAAGTGTTAGCTGCAAGCCATTAGAGAAAAGAAAGACACAGAGGGGATAAAGTAGGCAAGGAAGAAGTCAGCTACCCCTGTTTGCAGACGACATGATTCTATACTTAGAAGACCTTACAGCATCTACTAAAAAACTCCTAGATCTAGCCAGAAGTGGTGGTGCACACCTTGAACCTCAGCACCTGGAAGGCAGAGGTAGATCTCTGTGAGTTCCAGGCCAGCTGGGGAAACAGGGAGACCCTGTCTCAAATAGACCAAAAAAATTTAAAAAATTAAAAAGCATGGTTAATAACTAATTTTTTAAACTATTCAGGGGC